GCAGGAAACCCTCCACCACTTCAGACAAATGGTTATCCAACATCTTTAAAACGTCCAATGTTGGATTATTCATAACTTCTGGAGGCAAGTTTTTCCACTAATTAACTGTTCTCACTGTCAGGAAATTTCTCCTTAGTTCTAGGTTGCTTCTCTCCTTGATTAGTTTCCACCCATTGCTTCTTGTCCTGCCCTCAGGTGCTTTGGAGAATAGCTGGACCCCCTCTTCTCTGTGATAGCCCCTCAAGTACTGGAAGGCTGCTATCATGTCGCCCCAGTTCTTCTTTTCACTAGACCGGGTGTCAGCAACCTGTGGCTCCAGAGCCGCATGTGGCTCTTTGGACTCTCTGCTGTGGCTCTCTGTCAGATGATCCCACCACAGGTTGGCCTCGCCCTCCCCTCCCAGTCACTCCTTGCCTGACCTGAGAAGGTAAGGGCAATGGCAGGGAATGGAGAAGTGGCCAGGGTAGAGACAGAGAGAGACAGAGAGAAGGGGAAGGAGGGAGGGGGAAGAGAGAGATGTCAAAAGGGTTTTGTGGTTCCCAGTGTTTTTAAACAACCAGTTATCTGCCCTAATGACCGGATGGGTAGGCGTGGCTGGGGGGGGTCATGTGACTGGTGGAAGTGAGTGACATCGAGTTGGCCACGCCCACCCAGGTTTTGTGGCTCCCGGTGTTTTCTTTTCTGTGGAAAATGGGTCGAAATGGCTCTTTGAGTGTTTAAGGTTGCAGACCCCTGCACTAGACTAAACATACCCAATTCCTGCAAATTTTCTTTCTGTTTTAGCCTTCAGCTCCCTAATCATCTTTGTTGCTCTTCTCTGCACTCTACATTCAGGTGACTTGCTAACCTTCTCAAACTCTTTGGTTGAACGGGAGAAACTGTTGTTTGGGTTAAGAAGTGCTACTCAAGGCATGGTAAATGTTGTTGTTTTGGCGGTTTTTTTGATACCCCAAACAAAGAGATGGATGGGCTCTGGTTTACCCAAAACAAAACCTAGAACAGTGATAGCTAAGCTTTTTGCCATCGTGTGCCAAAAGTGAGGGGAGCCCGAGAAGGGTCGCGCGCGTGCGTGCCCACACCCATAATTCTATGCACCCTGCCCCCACGCATGCACGCGCGACTCCCCTCCCCCCATTTTTGGCACATGATGGCACAGTGGGTCTGGTTTTTTGCCCTCCCCAGGCTCCAGAGCCTTTCTAGGAGCTTGGGGAGTGCAAAAATGGCCTCCCCCCCGAGGCCCTCCAGAGGCCTGAAACAGCCCGTTTAGCAACTTCTGGTAGGACCTGAAGCTCAGATTGCGTGCCCACCGATATGGCTCCGCGTGCCACCTGTGGCACGCATGCCACAGGTTCGCCATCACGGACCTAGAACTTTGTTATTCTTGATTTCAGCTGAAACAAAACTCGCAGGGATCAGAAGAGTAATTTTAAGGGGTGAGTACGGCATGGTTAGTGGGTGTCATCCTCTTCCTCCCCAGTTCATTTGGCCTCTGCCAATGTTTGTTTATTTTTATTTGTATCCCTTTATTATGTTACAAATAACCCAAGGTGACAAACATATCCGACACACCTTCTTCCTCCTATTTTCTCCACAACAACAACAATCCTGTGAGGTGGGTTGGTCAGAGAGAGAGAGATTGACCCAACGTTATCCAGCTGATTTTCATGGCTAAGGCAGGACTAGAACTCACAATCTCCTGGTGATTGGCCCAAAGTCACCCGGCTGATTTTCATGGCTAAGGTGGCAGGAGTGAAATTCACTTACCTTTCCCTACCAGCTTGCAAATGTGAGTGTGCGCACCTCCTCCACGTCTGTGCAGAGCCTCCTGCGCATGCGCAGAGGGTCAAAAACAGAACGTGGTGACATCCGGGTGGGTGGGCGGAGCCTCCCGCTGGCGCTACCGGATCATGCAATCGGGATAGATCCAGCTGAATTTCACCCCTGTAAGGCAGGATTAGAACTCACAATCTCCTGGTGATTGGCCCAAAGTTACCCAGCTGATTTTCATGCCTAAGGCGGGACTAGAACTCACCGTCTCCTGGTGATTTGCCCAAAGTCACCCAGCTGGCTTTTAGGGCTAAGGCAGAACTAGAACTCCCTGTCTCCTGCTTCCTAGCTTTATAATTAAATTTATATGCCACCCATTCCACTATCTAAAGCAACAAAGCAAATGTTCTTGGCTTGCTTTCATTTGCCCCCTCTCCCCTCCCCTTCCCCCAAAACACATATTTCTGGAACAACCTTCTTTGAGTCTGTATCCTTAAACACACCATGTTTTATTCCTTGGTCCAAATATGCATCTTTTGACTCAAAGCAATAAACCTGAATGAAACGGGTAGTTCAAGAACTATTTTGCACATCCCTAGTTGCAGGATTTTGACCTGAAGGTTTCACTTCGATATCTTTTTTTTTAATTTGATTTATATGCCGCCCTTCTCCGGAGACTCAGGGCGGCTTACAGTGCGTTAAGCAATAGCCTTCATCCTTTTGTATATTTATACAAAGTCAGCTTATTGCCCCCACAAACCGGGTCCTCAATTTACCTACCTTAGAAAGGATGGAAGGCTGAGTCAACCTTGAGCCTGGTGAGATTCGAACTTACAGTAATTGCAGACAGCTAGTGTTAATCACAATGCTATCAGTCTGCTGAGCCACCAGGCCCATCTTTAGACATCATCTCCTTTTTGTAGATGCATTATTATTACTGTTGAGAAGAGTTGCCTCCCATATTTTCACTGCTAAAAATTACAAAGAATGGTGGCACAAAATGGGTGAAACAGATTCACAGAGTTGGAAGGGACCTTATAGGTCATCTAGTCCAACCCTCCACCCAAGCAAGAGACCCTACACCATTTCTGACAGATGGCAGTCCAGTCACTTCTTGAAAGCCTCCAGTGATGAAGTTCCCACAACTTCTGAAGGCAACTTCTGTTCCATCGGTTGACTGTTCTCACTGTCGGAAAATTCCTCCTTATTTCCAGATTCAACCTGTTTCCAGCCATTATTCCTTGTCTGGCCTTCGGGTGCTTTGGAAACTAGCTTGACCCTCCTCCTCTCTATGGCAGCCCCTCAGATATTGGAAGACTGCTATCCTGTCTCCCCTGCTCCTTCTCTTCACTAGACTAGCCATACCCAGTTCCTGCAACCGTCCATCGTATGTTTTAGTCTCCAGTCCCCAAACAGCTTCCTCCTCCTCAAATCATTATGTAATTGTACAGCATGTGCCGAATAAATATATTTAATCTACCTGGTTACACATGAGATTTTATGTGTTACATTAAGCAGCCTTAGCAAGGTTATTCTGCAGATTGCTTACAGCATAAAATGCAAAACTGTCTTTGAAAAGGCAGCAACATAAAATGAGCATTTTCAGTGTAAACCGCTTCAGGGAAAGTAAATGAATTTCAACGGAAGATTATCGCCTCTCATTGTAATTCTACATCCTCTTACTTTTGTGAGCAATTTGCTTTTAAATCACTTATAATTCCAAAATTTTAATCCACCGAGCAACGGGGCCCATAAATTTATTTATTTTTTCCCATGCCAAAGGCTCTTAACGATATGAAGGGCGTGGAAAACTTATTTCTGTCCTCCAGCCATCAGTTTCCACATAATAGGTATGTAATTTGAGAGAACACAGATCTCAAACAATATTAAGCTTTGTCTCTGTCAACTGATTAGATGTCAGGGCTTCCTGGCAACATTAATAACATCAGAGGACGGATGGAAAAAAGAATTTTAATGAGGTGTTATTCAAATGCAAACTCTATTGATAGTCAAATCCAGATTTATATTCTTGTATCTCCACTTCTGACTTCCAGGTTCTAATGGATCTGATCCGCTTCTGGTTTTTGAAGGGTTGAATAGGAATAGGAATAGGAATAGGAATAGGAATAGGAATAGGAATAGAATAGAATAGAATAGAATAGAATAGAATAGAATAGAATAGAATAGAATAGAATAGAATAGAATAGGTGGAGTGGAGTGGAGTGGAGTGGAGTGGAGTGGAGTGGAGTGGCATGGCATGGCATGGCATGGCATGGCATGGCATGGCATGGAATAGAATAGAATAAAATAGAATTCTTTATTTGCCAATGTGATTGCACACACAAGGAATTTGTCTTTGGTGCATATGCTCTCAGTGTACATAAAATAAAAGATACATTCGTCAAGGATCATAAGGTACAACACTTAATGATAGTCATAGGGTACAAATAAGCAATCAGGAAACAATAATTATAAATATAAATCGTAAGGATACAAGCAACAAAATTACAGTCATGCAGTCGTAAGTGGGAGGAGATGGGTGATAGGAACGATGAGAAAACTAATAGTAGTGCAGCCTTAGTGAATAGTTTGGCAGTGTTAAGGGAATTATTTGTTTAGCAGAGTGATAGCATTCAGGAAAAAACTGCTCTTATGTCTAGTTGTTCTGGTGTGCAGTGCTCTCTAGCGTCGTTTTGAGGGTAGGAGTTGAAACAGTTTATGTCCAGGATGCGAGGGGTCTGTAGATACTTTCACAGTCCTCTTTTTGACTCATGCAATATACAGGTCCTCAATGGAAGGCAGGTTGGTAGCCATTGTTTTTTCTGCAGTTCTAATTATCCTCTGAACTTTGTGTCTGTCTTGAATAGGAATAGACTAGACTAGACTAGACTAGACTAGACTAGACTAGACTAGACTAGACTAGACTAGAATAGAATAGAATAGAATAGAATAGAATAGAATAGAATAGAATACCACCTCCAATATGCACTATGTGAACATGACAAAATAAATAAATAAATACAAAATTATGTATATACCCATCTATGTTAAATGACATGGAGAAACAACACAATCTATTTTGGATGTATACGTATACATGGAAGAGGGTAGAGCGGGGGCCATTTTGTTTCTCCTCCAATTTCGGAGCTGATCCTAGCTGGGTCATCTTTTCTAGGCCTCCAGTGGTGCATCTGTCCTTACACTGTTTCCTCTTCTGTGCTCCCTCCTCACAGGCATGACCATGGATGAAGTCCGCTTATACGAGAAGGAGACCCAGCAGGCCACCAATGACATTGTGGGTGTCATGACACCCACCATCTCCATCAGCGAAGTCCACCTGCCCCACAGCACTCAGAGCGCCCCCTCCAGTGCCCCCTCCACACCGCTCAGCGGAGAAGCCCCTGATTTCCTCCATGTGCCCAAGGACCGCCAGCGGAAAAAATCCGCCCCAGAAATGCTCTCGCTGCCAGTACTGCGGGAACGTTCCAACCTGGAGTAACAACTATCTCAAGTCCCTCTTCCCAACCTTGCAGAGGAACTCCTGAATTCATTTCCACAGAAGAGGATCCGGTGTCCTTGATGTCTTTGTTTTTTTTCCCTAAATTGCTCTTTAATTCCAGGCTTGGCCTCGTGTCTGGCAAGAGAGAGAACTCCAGTTGATGGAAGCCATTGTTAAATTGTATGGGTGCCTTGGGAGAACTTGGGAGGTTCCCCCAGATTTTGGAAGCATCTCTAAGCCTTCTGATCTGTTCCCAGGTCCTTCAACATCACATTCCTGGCCATGTCTTTGCTGCCTTGGGTCAAAAGGGTTTTTTTTGGGGGGGGCGGGCAATACCATTGGACCATTGCTTGGTCTTCTAGTCTACATGGCTCAATCAACATAAATTGGGGTCTCCCCCCCTTCAGTGTGTGTGTGGGAAAAGCATTGGGCATGGCTCTGTTGCAGATGGAGACCTGGTCAACATAAATTCCGTGCCCCAAAAAATCCATCCTAGAAATAGATCTGTAACCTCATTAAATTGCATTTTCTAGCCTCCTTTGACAGGGACCCGGTGGCTCAGATGCTGAGCTTGTCAATCGAAAGGCCGGCAGTTCAGCGGTTCGAATCCCTAGCACCGCGTAACTGGGTGAGCTCCCGTTCCTTGTCCCAGCTTCTGCCAACCTAGCAGTTCGAAAGCAGGTAAAAAATGCAAGTAGAAAAATAGGGAAGGTAACAGCGTTCCGTGCGCCTTTGGCGTTGAGTCATGCTGGCCACATGACCACGGAGACATCTTCGGACAGCGCTGGCTCTTCAGCTTTGAAACGGAGATGAGCACCGTCCCCTAGAGTCAGGAACGACTAGCATATATGTCTGAGGGGAACTTTTACCTTTTACTGTTTGCCAGACAAGAGGAAATTGTCAAAGAGAAAGAGGACATCAAAGGAAGATGGGCAGCCCCAACCATCACTTCTTCAGGTTGGCTGTTTTTGTGGGCCCCAACAATTTACCTTTGATTTGCCTCCTCCCCCCACCCCAATTTAAAGCAAAGCCAAGGGAAAAGGCATGTTCGCCTTTCTTTGCTAATTGTACACAGTTAAGCCACTTGGCTAAATGCTTTCCTGCTGTTTCAAGCAGTCAAAAACTTAGTTTCGTTCCTTTTGCATGCTGGTCAGCTGCATGTTACCATTAAGAGTCATGGTGGTGCAGTGGTAAGACTGCAGAATTGCAGGCTGACTCTGCCCACTACCAGGAGTTCAATCCTGACCGACGCGAGGTTTGACTCAGCCTTCCATCCTTCTGAGGTTGGTAAAATGAGAACCCAGATTGTTGGTGGCAATAATCTGACTCTGTAAAACTGCTTAGAGAGGGCTCTAAGTGCTATAAGTCTAAGCGCTATTGCTATTTGACAATAACAGTCACAAGTCAAGAATTTGCCAATCAAACATCTGAAACCCAAGTAAGTATTGCAGGCTCAGCCGGCAAAGAATAACTCAAGACCATGTTGGTTGGAAACGTGCAGAAGAGGCCTTCATCCTGCAGACAATAGCTAGAATGATGATGATGATGATCTAGAACCCATTCACCAATCTGGGTTGCATAATGACATATTTCTGGTTCTTGGGCGAGCAGAGATTGCAAAGCGATATTAGCCATATCGCTGGGTTATTTCAGAACAGGAATAGGCGAGCGAGGTTCTCCAGATATTTTGGACGACAACGAACAATTGGTTGACATTGGCTGAAGTTGATGGGAGTTGAAAGCCCAGACGTCTGCAGGTGCCATCCTGTCCCTTGCTTTGGAAGTTGGGTCTTGGTAGGTATTTGAGAAGACCTGGGAAGTGCCTCTTTTCATTCGTGGCCTAGCACCTCCAGAGAGAATCCAGAAAAACCAATCTGAAGAACTTCCATAGATGGCAGAAAAATGCAACTGGACATGAAACGTTTGGGTCTAGTCCCAAAACGATGCAGAAAGGATTCCTCCCGATCGTTCTGCAGCCTGAACTCAAGTCGTTCCTTGCTAACTAGCACTTCTCAGGTGGATGAGAATCCCAACAGCCAGATCTTCAACTAAGGTGTCTTAAATTTGTGGGATTCTCTCGGGTCTCTTGGAGACTTCTCCAACACCATACAGGCCTATAAAAGCATCCTCTTGAGTCTTCGGCAATTTGAATCATCAGGTTTATATTCCCATGGCAACTGATGGCCTCTTTTCTCTATGGCTCGGGATCTCTTCACAGCAAAGGTACCTTCTGGAGGTCCATCCGTAGGACCAAAGCATAATGCCTTGTGGCCCACTTTCCCACCATCGCTAACTGCCCTTACTGGGAATGGGGCCTCTGCTGTCCCCAATTCCATGGACCATTGGCCTTTCTAGTCTTTGTACAAGCACAATTTGTATTTGCACTGTTGTGCAGGGATAGTCCTGCCTCCTTTTTCTTCTGCTTAAGCATTGATTCTATGTTTATGTTGGTGGGTTTGCATTTTCTTCCTCTTCTCTTCCCTCCCCTGTAAGCAAGCTGAGAAGTTGTATCTTCAGTCCACAAAAATAGGGAAGGATTCTAGAGGCAAACAGGACAATAAAACATTCAGAAAAAAGTTGGCACAGTTGATTAATCCACAACTGAGAAGCAAGAACTTGGTGTCTGAAGTTCTCATGTACGTTTCTGGATTCCACTGTCCATCCCGGAAGAAAGCAAAGTTGGAATAGATACAGAGCCTGCATCTGCTGTAACATCTGTTGGAGGCTTGGTGGGTATCTATTCTGTTGACCTTCTGGTAGATGCTACACCAGGCGTCAGCAACCTGTGGCTCTGGAGCCGCATGTGGCTCTTTAACCCCTCTGCTGTGGCTCCCTGTCACTCAAAATATGCGTCACAACCGCCAATGTGCGACACCCGCTGGCACGTGATTTATTGAGCTTTTCAACCCCCGGTAGGCCAACCATGGATAAATCCAAGAAAAGGAAAGTTTCAGAAGAAAACAGAACGTTTAATCCAACTACATATGCTAGTTTTGTGGCCGCTCAAGAAATAGTCAGGCACGGGAAGGGTTTTTGTGACTCCCGGTGTTTTCTTTTCTGTGCGAAATGGGTCCAAATGGCTCTTTGCATGTTTAAGGTTGCAGGCCCCTGTGCTACACCATCAACCGCATCTCAATCCCCTTAACTGCAGATTTGGGGGAGTAAATGTTCAATCCTTTCAAAACTCTACACTTCCAAGTTTTGAAGAACTCCAAATATCAACCCAGAAGAATCAGAGACTGTTCTTAACAACCACTGGTAGCCTCTACTCTGTAAGACTTGGCTAAGAATGAACTTGTATTTTCTCCTTGCAATGAGAGAAGTAGGAAAACCCTGTAAATATTTTGTGATTTGTGTGGAAATTGTACTGTTTGGTTTTGCTTTTGGGTTTTTTTTCCCCACTGGGGTGATAAAGGCCGCTTCTGACAGAAAGCTGTCATGTGATTGCTGAATTGTTTTGACACACCTGTGGAAGGCACGTGGCATTAGCAAACAACCAGTTGACTGGTCTCTCTCTCTCCCTTCATATAGAATAGAATAGAATAGAATAGAATAGAATAGAATAGAATAGAATAATAGAATAGAATAGAATAGAATAGAATAGAATAAATGTAGAATGTAGAATGTAGAATGTAGAATGGAATGTAGAATGGAATGGAATGGAATGGATGGAATAGAATAGAATAGAATAGAATAGAATAGAATAGAATAGAATAGAATAGAATAGAATGTAGAATGGAATAGAATAGAATAGAATAGAATAGAATAGAATAAATAGAATAGAATAGAATAGAATAGAATAGAATAGAATGTGGAATGGAATGGAATGGAATGGAATAGAATAAATAGAATAGAATAGAATAGAATAGAGAATAGAATAGAATAGAATAGAATAGAATAGAATGTAGAATGGAATAGAATAGAATAGAATAGAATAGAATAGAATAGAATAGAATAGAATAGAATAGAATAGAATAGAATAGAATGTGGAATGGAATGGAATGGAATGGAATAGAATGGAATAGAATAGAATAGAATAGAATAGAATAGAATAGAATAGAATAGAATAGAATAGAATGGAATAGAATAGAATAGAATAGAATAGAATGTAGAATGGAGTGGAGTGGAGTGGAGTGGAGTGGAATGGAATAGAATGGAATAGAATGGAATAGAATAGAATAGAATGGAATAGAATAGAATAGAATAGAATAGAATAGAATAGAATAGAATAGAGAATAGTGGAGTGGAGTTGGAATGGAATGGAATAGAATGTAAATATATACATAGAATAGAATAGGAATAGGAATAGAATAGAATGTAAAATATAGAATAGAACAGAATAGAGAGTAGAGTGGAATAGAATAGAATAAGAATAGAATGTAAAATATAGAATGGAATAGAATAGAATAGAATAGGAATAGAATGTAAAATATCGAATAGAATAGAATGTAAAATATAGGATAGAATAGAATAGAATTATCTTCTGTTTGAATAATAGATTCTAATTCTAGTTTAAAAATCTAGTTAATTAATTCTGGAGTTTGTAGAAGTGTTTGCCTCCCTCTGCTAGCTATTGAGAAAAACTACATCTAGCGATGTAGTTATTTTTTTAATTTGTGGGTGCGGGGGGTAAGGAATATAGAGATCGTGAGCTCCAGCGCATGCACAAATATGCTCTCAGGGCATTCTTCTAAGGATCATTTTAATTAGGATTTAATAAAATGGGAATTTAATTCATTAAGTAGGGAGTGAATCCAGGCATAGCATTGACCTTTAGCATCCACTTTACAAAATTGCCGCCCGCCTCCTCCGGGTCCTTTAGGCCATTCACAGAAAACGAAAAGTGGGAGTACGTAGTCAGATGCTTAGTTTGACATTTTGCCCATTTCTTTCTTAGACATGCAGCCATTTTGGAGAGAAAACCACAGCCAATTGCGTCCCCAAACAAAGACGGACAGGAATCCAGTAAATGAGAATATCTTTTTTTTTCCTAAAGTATTTTTATTTTTATTTGTTATCAACATATTCCAATGTACAGTCTTTTTTCCATCATTAATCATTATTCATCTTATTCTTTAATTTCCATTTGCTGATTAGTTGTTCGGGTCTGCTCTTCTACCACCTCCTTCCTTTATTTTAATACAACCTTTCCTTTTCTTCCCTTCTCTCTCCTCTTCTGTTTCTTTCTACTTTCTTCATTCCTCCTCTCCTTCCCTTTTCTCCTTCCTCTCATCTTTCCCCTCTCCTCTCTTCTTCCTCCCTTTCTTACCTTCTCTCCTCCTCTTTCCCCTTTCTTTCTACCCCTCCTTTTCCCGTCATTCTTTTCTTCTCTTCTCACCTCCCAACTCTCCTCCCTGCCCCTCTTTATTCCTCTCCCCTTTTCCACTCCCTTGTTGTTTCCTTTTTCAATGAGATTATCTTGTATGTCGATTCATACGGCCACCCATGAAGCAGAGGACTCTGAGCAGGAATAACAAAATTAACAATTTTCGGATGTGCTTTTTTATTTTATTTTATTTTATTTTACATTGCCCAGGTTTGCCATTCAATCCTTTCTGGGGGTTGATTAAGAACACCTGGCCCAAAATGTTGACTTTGAGAGGTTACCACAAAGAAGGGGAGGTGTCAACCTATTCTCCAAAGCACCTGAGGCAGGGGTGAAATGCTCCCGGTTCGGACCGGATCACCCGATCTGGTAGCAATGGCGGTGGGTGGTTTGGAGAACTGGTAGTAAACTCCCTGCCCCCCCCCCATCCCCAGCTGAGTCGCGCAATCATCAGAGGCTTTTTTTAAAAAAATTTTAAAAGCATTTTTTCTACAACCTCTTCCACAGAAAAAAATACTTTTAAAAGTAAAAAAAAAAAAAAGCCTCTCCCGATCAGGGAATTCAGCTGGGATCATCAGAGGCTTTTAAAAGCATTTTTTTTCTACAACCTCTTCGGCTCAAGAGGTTGTAGGAAAAAAATGCTTTTAAAAGCCTCTGACAATCCCAGCTGAGCCACGCAATCATCAGAGGCTTTTTTTTTTTTACTTTTAAAAGCATTTTTTCGGCTGAAGAGGTTGTAGAAAAAAATGCTTTTAAAAGGCTCTGACGATCCCAACTGAGTTGCCTGATCGGCAGAGGCTTTTAAAAGCAATTTTTTACAACCTCTTCGGCCAAAGAGGTTGTAGAAAAAATGGTTTTAAAAGGGGGGGGGAAAGTTGACCACGCCCACCCAGTCACATCACCACCACCACCAGGCCACGCCCACAGAACCGGTAGTAACGAATTTTACATTTCACCACTGACCTGAGGGTAAGACAAGAAGCAATGGATGGAAACTGATCAAGTAGAGAACCAACCTAGAACTAAGGTGAAATTTCCTAACAGTGAGGACAATAAACCAAAGGAACAACTTGCCTCCAGAAGTTGTGGGTGTCCATTACTGGAGATTCTCCAACTATCTGGAGTCCTCAAACTATGTTGGATATAACAGCTCCCAGAAGTCCAAGCTGGCATTGCCTGTGGCTGGGAATTTTGGAAATCCTAGCATCAACACATCTGGAAGGTCCCAAGTTAGCTGATTTACATATTCACTAAATTGGGAGACGTTTGCACAGAAGATAATGGGAGTCAACGTGCTTTGTCTACAGACTGATAGGACTAGACTAGACAGCTGCTAATAATAGCCTTGGATCTTTGGCTGCAAGCAGAAAAAGGCAGCCTTCACTATCGCCCCGATGCTTGCATTCCTGAGATCTTAGCTTGTTGCATGACAAACTTGAGAGATATGACAGTACCACTGCTAGCTAGGTCGTAGAATTCGAAGCTCGCTGAGATCTCTCTTCCTCTTCCCCCTCAAGTTCTCCTAGGTCATGTTCTTCTGAAGGGCCACCTAGACCATGGAACAGGAGGTAGTGGGAGTTGGCGTAGACGGGTGGCTTGTTAGGGTTTGAATGGGCCTGCTCCGGTTTGAGGGAGGCGAAGGGGTTGGCCCCACAGCTTATGATCTGGGTCTCCAGCTCCATCAAGATCCTGAGGGACTGTTTCAGCTCCTGTTCACTAAAAGAAGGAAACAAGGGAAGGATTAGTTACCGGCCTGGCAAACAAAAATTGCTCCAGTTACACTTGAAATTAGGGTGTGGCCGAGTGGTGGGTTTCAAATTTTTTTACTACCAGTTCTGTGGGTGTGGCTTGGTGGTCGTGGCATGGCTTGGTGGACGTGGCTTGGTGGGCATGGGCGGGGGAAGGTTACTGCAAAATCCCCATTTCCTCCCAATCAGCTGGGACTTGGGAGGCAGAGAATAGAGGGGGCGGGGCCAGTCAGAGGTGGTATTTACTGGTTCTCGGAACTATTTGACTACCAGTTCTCCAGAACTGGTCAGAACCTGATGAAACCCACCTCTGGTGTGGCCTTATAGCACAATCCAAGGTCACTATCGGTTGTTTCTTCATTAGTTATTACTCTACAACAGGGGTGTCAGAACTCAAGGCCCGCAGGCCGCATCCAGCCTGTGAGGTGCTTACATCTGGCCCAGGAGTGGGCTTCGGATCCTTTAGCAATAGGTTCACTGCCCCGTTGCTGGGTGGGCGTGGCCATGGTGGGCATGACCTAGTTGGCCACCTGCACCATGGCAGGGGCTGGCGTTTTCACCATCCCCAGGCTCTGGAGGCTTTTCTTGAGCCTCCACTGGTTCCCCCGAGCTCTGGAGGCTTTCCGGAGGTCAGAAACAGATCTGTTTCCAACCTTCCGGAATCTCCGGTAGACCCATTTTTTGACCTCCCAGACCCTCCACGTGGCCCCTGCACTTACCTGGAATAATGGACGGACCACGTGGAGACTCCTGGGGGGGAGGGGAGGGGTGGGCGTGGCCAGCCAGGGATGGCTTTTGGGGGTTTGCTGAACCCGGTGATCCTTGGCTAGAGGATCGCCTGAACCCTGCCGAACCTCCAGGAACCCACCCCTGATCTGGCCCACAGGGACACTCTGGAAACAGTGCAGGACCATCCCACGGTGCCCACGGGCTGCAGGCGGCCCTCCCGAGCTCTGTTTTCACTGGCAGAGGGTTGCAGGAAGCCATCACAGCCAAAAACGGAAGTCGGGAGCCTGTTTTCACTGGCAGAGCGCTCGGGCCACCATAGGTGACCCTGACATAAGTGATGTCGAGCTGGCCATGTCCACCCTGGCCCCCTAAGGTCAAACACAACGCTGATGTGCCCCTCAATGAAATCGAGTTTGACACCCCTGCTCTACAGTCATTGTTGTCCCTCTGTCCACAATCCTGCAACCCAGAACATCATTATCAGGCAGGAAGGTCCAGGATGAACCTCTGGTGGGACCAAACAACCACAACCAGGGAGCAGATGAAGACCAAGACCCTATGCCCCACAGATTCCATGGCAGTCTGGGAAGACATCTCAGGAATGTCCAGCCTGTGGACTTCAATGCCAG